GCGCGCCTCTCTTCTCTCTCAAGAGAGCGCGTGTGTGTGTGTGTGTGTGTGTGTGTGTGTGAGAGAGAGAGAGAGAGAGAGAGAGAGAGAGAAAGAGAGAGAGAGAGATGCACACACCATGTGTGTGTATGTATGTGTGTGAGTGTGACAGAGTGAGAGTGAGAGAAAGACAAAGCAGAGACACACACACCCTGTGAGAGAGAGAGAGACGAGCATTGCCTCTAAGTATTTTTAAGGCTGAATCCCCACTCTGGCACTTCGAGTGCAGAAGATGGGGGCCCACGAGGATTTTAAAAATTAATACTTTCCACTCCAGGCTTGTATTACACTCCCAAGGTTACAGTTTTTCTCTGACCTTGGCTTGGTAAATGCTGCCACCACCCAAATGCAAGCCCCCTTGAACCCAGGAAGGAGCACTTTCACCCCCACTCCAGGGAAGAGCTGAGAAAGAAAACAAAGGAAATTAGCTGTTGCTACCAGCTAATCAAACAACATGCACAAAACTCATAGGACACCAAAAATCCAATCCTGTTCTTAAAAGAGGTAAAATTTATTAAAAACAAAAAGAAAGAAAATACATTTGGAACTTAGGCTTTTTGCTAGATCTTAAAAGAAACAATTACAAGAACTAAGCATCGAGATCGTTTTCTTGAGGTTCAGCTTAAAAGTTGCAAGCAAAACAAAAGCATCTAGGGTTGGCACAGAGGAGATCCACAAGCCAAGATAAAAAAAAATAAAACCAATCGTGTCTATTTAAACATGCCCTGTCCAATCATTTCTTCTAGGTAATCAGTGGACAAAGCAGGCATCCACCAAACAACATTATAAGGGAGCATTGTGCAACTTTAAACGAGCGTGTTCTCTAATAGATCAGCGACGTAACAACGAAACAATGTTAACTGGGAGGATGTTAAGTGAGTAGTTACTGTACTTTAACAATGATCTAGCGAAGTTAAGAAGGACTTGATTATCAGAGCATCTGATCACTTGCAGCTCCCATTGACTTTAACTGGAGCTGTGTGTACCCACCACCTCTGCAGAACAGGCCCCAGAGATAAGTCACTCAAGTGGATAGAAGAAACAGAATGAAAACAAGGGAGTTTGGATCGAGTAGGGGTTTGGCAATGAAGGGGAGTAGCCTCCTAAATTGGATGTGAGTGGACTAAAGCAAATGAAATCAGTTAACTAAATCAAACAATTAAAAACCTTTAGTTACTAATTTAAAAATAAATGTTATTACATATTAGTATGCAGTCAAAAGTATAAAAACACCAGTTGCTTATGAAGATAGAACACCAGCAGCCAGGGGCGTGCACACGGGGGTGGGGCAAGCAGGGGCACACCCGACCCCAATAATTGTCAAGGGCACAGAACTCCTCCAGCCCCGCGGCTGAGGGGAATAGCAAGCTCCTGTGGCCCTGGAGCTTCACTAGGGAGTGTGAGCTCCTCTGGCCCGAGGGCCATGGTGAAGAGGACGACTTCCTCCGGCCTGGGATCTTACCAGGGGCAGAGAATGTGCCACTTCAAAAACAGTCAAATTTAAATTCCTGCACATGCCCCTGCAGGTAGATTAGTCACATGCAGGCCACCCAGTATACTACAGAGTGCAGCAGGTACAACTATTTGTCTTGTGTCAAGTGTCATATATGTGTACCTGTGATCAAGCAGCTCATACTCCTCAGAGCTCATACACCTCTTGATGTCAGAGTTGCTGATTTAGAGGAGAACAGAAATAGTGACCACATACATGGGACACTGTAGAGCAGTTCTACCCCAGAACTGGCTATCCTGCGCATCCAGCTGAGAGAGTCTCATGATGGGAGGGAAACAGATGGAATAGGAGGAGAGACAGTCTTAGGGCTTGTCTATACTTACCGCGCTGGTTCGGCGGCAGGCAATCGAACTTCTGGGTTAAATTTATCGCGTCTTGTCTGGAC